GAATGGACAGATTAGAAATATTTTCATGCTTTGTTTCCTGCACGGCTCATGTGCAGTCTGTCGTTTTAAATAGTTCTCACAGCTGCAGCCCATGAAGGGGATCCAGACCCTTTCCTCCCCATAGACCACGCCATTTTTCTCCCTTAACCTCTCCTCCCTGCATGACCTAGGATGGAGTGGGGATGGGCCTGGGTCCTCCTCTGACTGCCCAGCCAGCCTGTGCCCTTCCCCAACCTCCTTCACAACCTCTGGAGCCACACTTCCACTCCCTGTTGGCTGTTCCTCCTCTCCCTTGGAGTCAGTCTCCAACAGGGGCATGACAGAGTATTTGCACTAAGACAAATTCCTTGTGTGTCCAATCACACTTGGCCAATAAAGAATTCCATTCCATTCCATATTATCAGGTACAATCCTAGCCATTATTATACTAAAGAATATACAATTTATGCACCTTGAAACAAATGGTAAATATACATGTATACATTAAATAGCCATCCCCACCCCTTTTTTTTGTAAATAAATTTCCTATCAACATTCTATGGGAGAAAAAGTGATCAGATTTTGTAGGGAAAACAGTCCAAATAGTTCATTTTTGCTTTCTACAACAAGCCTAAACTTAAGAAAATATGTACGCAGCTATAAGGTTTATGATTTGCTAATGTCCTGGTTCAAGACAATTATATTTTTTTAATTTTTTATTCCATCGTTTAATGCGCATGAGACCCCCCCGCATGCCTCTGTGCATGTACACAAGACCCCCACGCACCACGCACCTATGCACATGTGTCTCCCACGTCCCCCACACATGCATGCTAGATAACAATCAGCTGTCAGGTGGCGCACGCATGTGCAGTGGGGCTCTTCCAGGTGACCTCTCGGGTGCCAGCAGAAATGGCTCTGTGTGCCACTTCCTGCACGTGTGGTTCGCCATCATGGCTAAAGTAAATTTCCAGGGAGTTTGGATAGCTCTGTTCATATGATTCTCTGCCTTGAGCCATTACCTCTGCTGTGGCCTTTATTGGTTAAGAGCTCCTTCCGTAGAAGAGTGCTTCTTTCTCTGCCTGAAGACAAAAGAACAACTCTATGGTCCCTTGGTCCAAAAGTCATCTCTTCCCCATTAATCGTCACATATTACACTATACTCTCTTCCACACTGATGGTTTCAGGAGAACCAGTGAAAAGTGACCTTGGGAGTTGTAGATTTCACCAGGTGGTGACAAATCTAGATGATGCAGTCCCTGATAGGGATCTTCTGCATCTTTCACCCGCAGCTCTTCTTTGTCTAAGATTTCTACAATACCTCTTTTGGTTTCACTATATTTTTTTGGCCCCTCCATTTGTCCCTGCTTAGCTTCCCCAGCAGTAAATTATCCTCAGCTACTGTAAGGAAATTACTGGAAACTATTTTTGATTCTGTTTCCTGGTGACGTTTTTGCATACAAAAATATATTGCACCTGGCAATATTTGCATAAATTATTCTTGTACAACTTTCTCCTGGGTGCCTTCACCTGGCTTCAGCCATTTTTTCCTTAGGTCTGAGAGTTAAACCCATTCAATTTCCTTCCCAAGAGTTGTAGGCACAATCTTGAAATGGCTGTGGATTTAATATTTTATTCTTCCATAATGGTATTCTTTTATTTCCTCCACCCCTTACAACTATGGATAACAAATGGAAAGAGACTGATGCATATTCTTATCCTTCTGGTGATCAAACAGGGAGTTACCCTGGCCATGCATGTATATTTTATCCAGTCACAGGATGAAACCATCTTTTTGATTATTATGTGTCTAAGTTTGTGGACTTCTGGAAAGAAATAGCAGAATGAAGACAGTTCTGTGAAGAGAAGAGCCAATGATTGCAGAATAAAGAACAGACAAGTAGACCAGCTCTCTGTTAACTCTTCTCAGGACAAGGAGAGAGCTTGAGATTGCCCACAAATGCTCCATACAGCTGCTTGTGAGGAGACTGCAAATTAATGATCTTTAATGGGTTATCTTAGAACTTATAAAATGGTGATTAAAACTTTTGATTTTAGAAAGTTACAAATCGACTAAGAGTCCAAATAAATTTGAAATAAGATTTTGAAATTACTTATCATTCCTGTGGGAAAACACTTTTAAAAAAAACAAGATTTTAACAATTAGGTCACTAGAAGGAACTAAAGATTACAATTAAAAAGAACAGTTGCATTCAACTTACAATTACAGAATGAAGTAAAAATTTTTAACATTGGACATATTAAAGGATATTTTTGATCAACAGATCCTGAAATTAATTTTAAAAATTAATAGATACCCTGTGTTTAAAACAGAGCTGTGAAACTCTCAGCCCACACCCAGTTTAACAAAGGGGGGGGGGGGAGTTGTGATATGTCACACGACGTGAATTTGACACCCCTAAAAAAACAAAACAAATTCTTTCTCACAAGACTGGGACCAAGTGTTTTGTCTCATGAATGATAAGAAAAAAGATGCTACATTGGACAGAAAAAAAACCCTGGCTGATGTTTTAACAATTAAAGGGGAAAATTAAAAATAAACCAAGAGAGTGGCCTGGATAATTTTCCTATATGGCATTTACAAATGCAGCTTATTAAAGTTTTAAAGAATTATATTAAGTCAAAGAAAAAATGGAAAGAGCTCAAGTTATGTGTTATTTGAAGTGACTAAAAATTAAGATTGACAGTAAAAGGAATATAACATTGGTTTATCTGATCAAGGATCAAAATAGATAGGTTTTTCATGTAACTCTTACAAGAATCTGCTGATATCATTGATGTTGAAATGATGTTTATGGATTTGTTGATAAGACAAATGGGAAGACGACATAATTTTTTTAAAATGTGATAAGTTACTAAAATTTATACTTTATATTTGTCTAAAGAGTTTGACAAGTGCATCTTTTTTATTTCTCCATTTCCCTTTTTTTGTTCTACACCTTTTATTCCTCCTTTTTCTCATTTTTCAGTTTGGGGTAATTTCAGTTTTTGTGGTAATTATAATCTTCATTAATAATATTGTAAATAATCCCTGTACATCATATATTTCACTATTTTAGGTAACCTTATTCTGTATTTTTCCCCAACTAAAGTAAGGAAATGCTTCTTCTCCAGGAGACTGAGCTTTTTTCATGCACACATTCCTATTCCTAATACTAACACCATTTGCAAGAACTCTGTTGAGTTGGCACAAACCACAGAGACTTTATTGCATTTTGCTCCACTGCAGAGTGTTTTATTATGTAAAAAGGAGTCTTGGGTTTAGCAAGGAAACTTGTTTCTGTTGTCTAGTTCTATCTTTATTCACATATATCACTATAATCCTAAACCTAACTCTACATTTTTATTTACTTTTACTTTCACAATTTTATTTCCCTGGATTTCTATTACTATCCTGAGTGCAAGCCCTAGACTTTTGGACTGAGATCCAAGTAAACTTATTTGCAATGGCTTTCAAAATTGGAGCTCCTCTAAGTACTAAATTCACTCTACTTAATTTTATTTTCTCCATTGGAGCCATAATAAAAGTTAGGCTTCTCCCCAACCTCTCTACTTCGGGACTAAGTTTTTACAAAACACACTTACTTGGAAGTAAATGCCCCTTTTACTTTTTAACTCTTAGGAAAAAAAAGTGTTCAGCTGAATTGGCTTTTATAATCTGCTTGAGAAAAACAAGTCACCGTTCATTCTCACTTTGTTCTAATAGTGCCAGCTTCTGTATCAGAGGTCTCCAAACTTGTCAACTTTAAGACTTGTCAAAGTTGCCAAGTTTGAGGACCCCTGTTCAGTATGCACAATCACCTTAGCCTATTGTCTATTTGGGGAACAGACTTGGGCTGTTGGCTAAAACTCCCACTGTTTGATCATTACATTACCATTTCTCACCACCTAGTTGATATTTCCCTCACCACATAACCTTATTCAACTACTGAATTTGACCTCACACCTGTCACACAACTATTCCAATTCTACCTTAACTTTCTTTCATCACCCACCACTTCATTTCTTCCCTCCCTCCATCCCCACACTTTCTATCCCTCTTATACAGCTTCATATTGGGTGTGGTTACAAAAAGTGAACTGTGGGGTCAAGGTCCTCCACTTATCAACTGTGTTAAATGAAGAGTTTCTCAGGAAAAGGAAATAGAGCAACCAAGCTGTACATCCTTTCATATATTTCAAAACAATCCTGTGTAAAACTTAAACCCTCTCTTCGCATATCCTGGAAATGAAGCCCTAATAAGCATAGCAAGACCAAAAGTTTGAGATTTGCTTAAAAGGTGTACTGGATTGCAGCCCATTCCTGCAGAATTTCCCTACATATGATTATTGCATAAAGGGGAAAGTAAAGTGAATATATAGCTGCATATAATTGTGCCACGTTTAATTCAAGGCTTCCAATTCCCAATATTAGTAAAGGAAAACAGATTAAGGTGTTGAAATAATCCAAACTCCTTGTTTGCATGATACAGTTTGTAACCTTGACCACATTCTACATGCACTCCTGGAGTCCAGGAACCAGGTCAAAACTCTAGAACTAAACAGAGACTAGCAATCTTCCATCTTCTCATAGGTTACTGTTTTGTAACATTAACAAACTCAGGTGGTTGCTTTAAAAACGTAACTCGAAGACCAGCAGCGTACATTACCAGCTGCTACGGTTACCTTTGCTGAAGCTCCCGGATAAAATCTAAGGCAGTGCATTATGGGCTACCTACAAGTTTATCCAAACCGCCACAACATTAAGGATTCTTAAGACATCGGGCTTGTCAGATAGCAGCGTCAGTTTCCCCCAAGAAAGGTCCAGCTGCGTAGTGTTACAGATGCCGGCTAAAAAAACGAATGCCCATTGAGCGCAATGAGCTTTTCCGGTAAATGAACAGGTATGCATATATTTTTTAAAAAGCAGTTTTCCCTGGTCGAGACCCGCTTTAAAAACTTTGAGGGAGAACGAAAGAGAAACTAAGGCTCCCCGGAGAAAAAACGGGGCAAGGTACCTACTTTTTGAATCCCTGAACTCAGATCCATGGTTCCGCTTGCAAAAGCGCCTCGCTGCAGCGATTAACAAATGGCTTCTCTATAGCGCGGTGTCAGGAGGGAATCCGGATTCAGCAAGTACCACAAACTCCACTTTCTGATCCGGAGCGCTAATCTCCTCGCCGCCTGAGCGAAGTCCCTTTTATAATTGGAGCCCACAACTCCCTCTTACAGCGCCGCAGCCAATCGGGCGAGCGGCTCTAACTTTTCCAGCCAATGAGAAGCGAATCATTCGCCTCAGGTCCTTAAGGCTTGCTTTAAAACCCTGTCTGAGCAAAGGGCGGGGTGGGTGATGCGTTCCAGCTGGGGACGGCGTCTGCCACATCTGTTTCACGTGGTGTCTGAACACCGAGGCCGAAAGTCCCCGCATCCCTATTTCGCCTTTCACAGGGAGGCCGGGAGACGTTGTGCGAAAGCAGCCAAGTTCATTCATTCAGAGCAAAGAGGCTGGGGGCGGAGCGGGCGATATTATTAGCTCTTTAAATCCAAAAATAAATTCCTATCTCGGCGGAACTGATGAAGTCATTGAATTAAGCAAACGTTTTATCTAATCCAAAAATATTTTTAAGCCATGGTAACATTTTTTGGGGGGTAAACAAAATGCAAAAGGAAAAGAAAAAACATTAGAAGTGGGAACTGGAGGAACCAGCCTGGGGAAAGCTTGTTTAGGTTAGGATGATCTATGATTTGGGGAAATCATTAAAATACTTGGTTGGGAATTATGCCCTAAGTGGAGCTATGCTTTGACTGTGGCAGCAAAAAATAGAAAGGAGGCCCTTTGGCCCCTGAAGGATTAAGAGATACTGCGGTACGAGGTGCAGATTATGCATCCTATTTCATCCCGTGCATGATGTGATTTTCACTTGGTTAATCTCTACATGGTTACAGATAAAATATTTAGACTAAAATATAAATATTTTCAAATATTTTAGCCAAGTGAATTTGGCATAGAAGTTATCATTCAGATAAAATGTCCTTGTGCTGCAGTTAGGTTTTATGTAATGATTCCTGTATTTAGGACAGCTGCGGCAAGGGAGATTGGTAGTAATAAACCACTATTTCTATTGAGAATAAAGGTCCAATTTATTTATTTAACAGCTGCCCATCTCAGAACAAATTAATACTTAAAAATCATTTAACAATTAAAACATCAAAAGTCCTCTACTTATGACCACAATTGAGCCCAAAATTTCTGTTGCTAAGCAAGACATTTGTTAAGTGAGTTTTGCCTCATTTTACAACTTTTCTTGCCAGAGTTGAATCACTGCAATTGTTAAATTAGCAACATAGTTGTTAAGTGAATCTGGCTTTCCCATTGATTTTGCTTGTCAGAAAGTCACAAAGGGTGTTCACATGACTCCAGGACACTGCAACCATCAGAAATATGAGCCAGTTGCCAAACATCTAAATATTGACCACATAACAATCGACATGCTGCAAGGCCCATAAGTGTGAAAAATGGTCAGAAGTCACTTTTCTTCAGTGCCATTATAACTTTGGATGGTTACTAAATGAACTGTTGTTAAATTGAGGACTACCTGTATTAAAAAAACTGAGCTAAACTAAACAGAAGGTGAAAGATAATGTTAATATAGCAAAGCTACTTCCCCCATCATCTGGGGTGCCCAGGTCTATGGACAGAACCAGGTTTTGAGGGACTTTCACAAGGCTGGAAGTGATAAAGCAGACCTCCACTCAATAGAGAAGAGATTCCACCACTCTACCACTGCAGAGAAGGCCTGCCACCTGCAGTAGGACCTGTGTCAACTAAAAAGATACCCTTTTGGTCATTTTAGCTGCCAGAAAAAGGGAGTGGGGGAAAACAGTGCATGCTTAAGATGGAACTTGCATCACGCCTGCATAGCTGAATCTGGTGGGACAAGCAGATGAATTTGGGGAAATGCAGTCCTTCAAACATCACAATCCCATGTCATGAAGGGATTTAAAAATCAATACCAACACCTTGAATTCGACCCAGAAGCAAATTGGTAAATGCAGCTTGCAAACCAGAGGTGTACAATGTGTATAATATTATACTGGATTTATAGAACTGTTTAATAAATAAATCTACAGGATCATTTGCCACAGAGATTTTGTGCACTTCAGTAATGGGGATGAAGAGGAGCTTTCTTTCAAAGTTTCTAGAACTTTCCATGAGCCAAGAATGGGAAATGAGGTGGATACTGATACTGAAAGTAGACTTTCTGATCATCTACTCTTAAAGTAGAATTGGAAGTACAGTAGACTTTCAAACTAGGGTTTGTCGAGTGATCTAATAGTTTCAGACTGCAATTGGGATCACCTGAGGGAGTGATAAAGCACCAAAGAGGCTGAATACACAATCATCTCCAGACTGGGAATTCAAACCCACATACAAACCCTTGGGGAAATAAAGTACAGTAGTCATTTGGTAGGTAGAAAATATAGTGGAAGCTAGCCAATCTGCCTGTTTACTCAATAAAGCTGTAACTGATTTAAGTGATCAACTAAGGTTTTGAAAAGGGTTAGGGAAATCACTGGAAATCAAACTTCATAACTTTTGCCAAGAATAAAGTCTCAACTTCAGGTGCAAAAGTTCCTCTTTTTTCTTTGCAGAGCAGCCTTTTAAAAATATTTTCAGACAAGTCCTTGCCCACAAGTATCACATGATCTATCTATCTATCTATCTATCTATCTATCTATCTATCTATCTATCTATCTATCTATCTATCTATCTATCTATCTACCCACCCACCCACCCACCCACCCACCCACCCATTATCCATTCAGTCATGTTATCCATTCAGTCTAAGTCTTAGCAAGTTTCTCTATGCTCTGGCTGATGTCAGCTTTGATGATGTCCTGCCATTGTGTTCTTTGGTGGTCTGGATTTCTTTTACTGCTACCTCTTCCCAACACAAGTTGCTTTCTCCAGTGAATTCCCCTGCATGACATGGCCAAAATAAGTGAGACACAGTTTTGTCCTTCCAATGACATGGCTGGGGTAATGCACTCCAGTGCTTACTTATTGGTCGCCTTTGCTGTTCAAGGAATTTGTGTCTATATCTCACAGAAATATAAACAGTTAAAAACATAATTTAAAGAAGAGCCATGATGGTGCAGTGGTTAGAACGCTGTACTGTACGCTACTTCTTCCGACTGCTGGCTGCCAGCAGTTGGATTCTCACTGGCTCACAGTTGACTCAGCCTTCCATCCATCCGAGGTCGGTTAAAATGAGGACCCAGATTGTTGAGGGCAATATGCTGACTCTGTAAACTGCCTAGAGAGCGCTGTAAAGCACTATGAATCAGTATATAAGTCTAAGTGCTGTTGCTATTAAATAAGATAAACCATTTAAAATTCTGTATGGCAGGAACACATACAAGAGAGTGTGTTCATTTAACTATCCGAATGCCATCTAGTAGGTTCTAGTCCAGGAGTGTCAAACTCTATTTCATTGAGAGTCGCATCAGGGTTGTGTTTGACCTTGGGGCCAGGGTGGGCGTGCCCAACTCGATGTCATTTGTGTTATCAAATGCCACTTTTGCTAGTAGTTTGTTTTGCTAGCACTCTAATAGCAAAAACGGAGCTCAGGAGGGCCATGCCTGCCTCTCCTGAGCTCTGTTTTTGCTGTCAGAGGCACCACGGGCCGGTCCTTTGCTGTTTCCAAGGCAGCACCTCGGGCCAGATCTAAGCATACCATTGGTCGTATCTGGCCCCCAGCCCTTGAGTTTGACACCCCAGCTCTACTCCATCAAGGATTCCTCAAGCCAGTTACAGAACCATGTTTTAAGGATCTTCTGGAAGGCTAATAGAATTGTTGCCAACCTTATTGCATTAGAGTCTATATTGGCAGAATTGTAAAGCTGTTCAGATTATTGATTTGAACATTACAAAGCAGAGGAAGAATTGGAAAAAGATCTGATTTTGAAATCATTAGTTTTTATACTTGTTATTTAAAATAGAAAGTCAGAGGAGTCTTTTTCTTAACTTCCATTGAGTGATGTTACAATGTTGTAACCAAGACCATAAATTGACTTGTTCTGTTTGTTTAAATAAATAATTCCCCATCCCAATTATCTCTGGTGGAAAAAAGAAGTCTAAACACATTTTCTAAGAATTTTAAAGGTGGGACACAATCCAGGATAACAAATTTATTTTCCTAATCTCTAGCCTATGTATTAATGTTTTTAAGGAAAGGCCCTAACTCAAACCCTCTATTTTCTCTTTTTAATACATGGTTTGGTCATTCTCAAATTTCTTTCACATGTTGATGAGAAAAACATAAGAGACCAATTTTGGGCCTGGCTCCCTCCCCCTGCTTCCATTTGTTTGAACAGCTTCGTAAAAGGTGGTATTTTGTTCCTCAGCCTGTTTTAAATAAGTTTCTAGGAAACAGTCCAAGAGATATATATTCTAATGAAGTATATACAAAATTGTCTTACCCAGTTTTGTAGAAATGATTTTTATTTAATCTGATCTTGTAGCAATCTAGCAAAGCACAGGATATTTTGGTAGGGTTCAGTTAGACCTGGGGAAGGACTAGCCAGATCAATCCAGAAAGTTGTGAAAATGGGATGCAGTAATGTTGGCTGCTCCCAACATTATGCTTGTGGTGGCAGTAGCAGACTTTCCCCCCATTCATAAATTTACAGTAATTATAGATTGGTTGTTCATATGAGAGATCCTAGAATAGAATAGAATAGAATAGAATAGAATAGAATAGAATAGAATAGAATAGAATAGAATAGAATAGAATAGAATAGAATAGAATAGAAT